AATGAATAATTGATAATTTGAAATAGGAAAAAAGGTCCAAAGATGAAGGAGTGAAGGGAGGGGAAGGGGAAAGGAAAAGAGGAAAAGGAAAAACTATGAGAAAAGAAAAAAAAAAGGAAATGAAATCTATGTGAATAGGGAAGGGTGGAGGGGGTGAAGGGTGCACAGGTAATGGGGAAAAAAAATGAGAACCAAGAAGATATCATGTACAGGTACAAACACCCAATGATAAATGTAAACGAATTGTATACCTAAAATGTACCAATAAAAGAACTAAAAAAAAAAAAAAGAAAGAAAGACCCCTGTTCAAAATGCCAGAATTGCGAAAATAATAAGTGAGGATCTGTTGTCATTATCAAAGGACGATTTGCTTTTGGTGGAAATATATGTGGCATAGTTATTCTGAAGCTAGACCTTGTGCCTTTTTTTTTGTTTTTTTTTTGTAGTACGAGTGGTTGAAACCAGGGCCTTGCACACGTTTGGCAAGTGCTCTACCACTGAGCTAAACTCCCAGCCCCTTTTTATTTTTATTTTAAGTCGGAGTTTTGCTCAGTTCCCCAGGCTGACCTCACACTTGGGATCCTCCTATCTTAGCCTCCCGAGTAGCTGGGATTACAGGCATGCACCACTGCGCCCAACTCTGTGTTGCATTTGTGATAGCACTGGATTGAAGCAGTTGTGAGGGGACCAAGGTCAGAGGCTTGGAACCTCTCAGACGACCTGAGAGGCTGGCTGGGTGCTGGGACAGCTCCTTCAACTCGTGTGGGTGAACATTGGTGGCACAGGGTCAAACTTTGGTTGGAAAAGCAGGAGCTCCTCAGTGGGTACCTGGCTGTGACACACCGAAAGCCTCAGTTGAGAGTCTTTGTCTGATTTTATCCCTTTATTCTACAGATGAGGAAACTGAGGCCCGAAGAAGTTATCCCACTTGGTTAAAGGCCCACAGCAGGCCAGAACCAGACCTGGGCTCAGAACCCTGGCTCCTGGCACTCGCTCTCCTGAGGACCACTTTCCTTAAGACGAGGTTTGCTTTCAGTTCGTTGGTTCTTGTCTTACCTTTGTCACCAGAAGGCCTCTCTGGGAGGCTGAGGCAGGGTGATTGCAAATTCAAGCCCAGCTTCGGCAGTGTAGCAGCTTAGACCCTGTCTCAAAAATAAAAAGGGTTGGGAGTGCAGCTCAGTGGTCCAACACTTCTGGGTTCAATCCCCAGTACTGCAGAAAAACAAAGAAAGAAAGAAGGAAGGAGGGAAGGAGGGAGGGGGAGGAGGTGGGGGGAGGAGAGAGGGGGGAGGTGCCTGTTCTAACAACAGGCCTCTAACTTGGAGCTTTCTGTTCAGGCCTTTAAGTCCAACCTTCCCTGCCTTCTTTCATGGCTCAGTATTGAACTTTTCCCTGGGGTGGTGGAGGGTCCTGGGGGGTATGGAGGGCATGGGCCGTACGCTGCAGGCATGAGCTTGGTGACTGCACCGTGCTCATGAGTGTGGTCTGATGTCCAGGTGAGTCCTGGCTCAGGTGCTGCTGCTGTCCAGATTCTACAGAGAAGCGCGGGCCCTAGGGCTCTGCCGGGTGCCCCTGAGCCGCACTGTGAGCTGCAGTTCTGGTCCTGCACCTACAGGCAGGACCTTAGCCATGGTCCGAGCCAGCTCGTGCGTTACAGCTCTTTATTACACGTTAGCACAAGGTTAGCTTACAGGGGTTGAAATACATTGATTTTCTAACAGATTCCAGGTAAGCCTGGCTTTTAATTTTCCAGTGTTGAGGGAGGTGAGGTTTTACTGTGGAACTCGTGGATGACACATTGTTTTCCCTCTTGGCCCCAGTGATGGTTCCCATGCTGACTGTGGGTTCTTCTCATGTGGGCTGTGATGCAGGCGGGGGTGGGTGTCTCTGCCCGGTGACCCTGCTGTGTGGTGTTGGAGCGGGGTCCTGAGCCTGGCTTCTCTGTGGGGATCCACGCAGAAGTGTGAGTGAGGGGCCTTCCTGGCTGACCCCCAGACACTGCGCAGCGGACCTGTCATCCCCTCACTCACCTGCCCTGTTCAGCCCCCTGGCACAGAAGTGGGGGGCGTGGCAAGCACCTCTGGGGCAATTTGTTGTGTGGCCTGGTTACAAGAGTCCTTAGGGTTTCCACGCACAGGGTGAGGCGTTTTCTTATTAATGTTAGTGATAGGAAGGGTGAGTTAGTGCTTTTTTGATAATCACTTTTTAAGTTTGTTTTTCATAACATAATTTGAACATCACAAAATCCACCCTATGACAGGGTCAGTTCAGTGGTTTTAATATATCCACAGTTGTACAACATCACTACTACTTCAGTTTTAGGACATTTCATCACCGTGACGGGATAGACTCTTAATTTACTCCCCAGATGAGTAAGAAATGAAAGGTTCAGCTCACTGTGAATGGTGTAGCCTGTGGCCTTGTGGATTCAGGGCCCAGCAGGCGTGAATTCAGCCTGCTGGCCTGGCTGCAGCCCTGCCACCGTCTGTTGTGTGCCTGGGAGATCTCAAGGCCCCAGGGAGCAGCGAGCTCTACGGGCTTGCATGGAGAGGGCGGTGGTGAGTGTGGTGGAACAGAGGCCCCCGGAGGGCAAGGGTGTCCCTGGTGCAGCTCCCTGTTGGCTGAGCACAAGGACAGGGTTCTGGCCAAGCACTGGCTGAGTTGAGTGCACGGTGCAACTGCACATTTTACCCCACATGCACCTGCAAAAGGCAGCCTCCAGGGCAGCGACAGGGGTGGAGGCTGTGTTTCTGCACAGCAAAACAGACTGGTGTTAGGGGCCTGTGAGACATAGGAAGTGCGTTCAGTAGCATCTCATTAAAGTTGTTCTTTATTTAAGAGGAAAAAATTCATATTAAATGAAGGAAAATGGTATCTTGATGTGTCAAAAAAAGATATTTATTAAAAATGACAAATTCTCACACTTAGCTGGACCCTGTTGTGTTAAAAATGGATGGGGTCCCCGACCCAGCTTAGCACCCCACAGCGTGGATACCATGGCCGCTGCGCGTTGGGGCCTTGGGGCTGCTGGGTGCCATGCTTATGTCCCGGGCTCCCTGGCGTGTGGCCCGAGGGCTGCAGGAGGGTGGGTGCGGCTGGGCTAGCCTGGTTGTTTGGCATGGACAGTCCATCAATAGGAGGACTAGACTTGACTGACAATGCTCATGCTGTATTAGGGAGTACAGCCTGACAGCTAGCCTCATGGACACAGGAAATTCTTGTGGTGATCCCACAGGTCCCTTAGTCAGTAGATCTAGAAACTCATCAGTGGAAGATGATGCTGTTGTGTTTATTGAATCTGTACAACCTCCTTCAATTTCTGCTCCAGCAATAGGTGATCAAAGAAACTTTATATTTACATCATCAAAACATGAAAAGCCACAAGGAAATTGTTCTGTAATTCTGCCTTTCTCAAGAGATTCGGCTTCTTAGAAAGGAAATATGTTCGAGACAATTATTATTGATGATGAAGAGGATATAGAAACAAATGGAGGGGAGAAAATAAATTCTTCCAGTAATGCTGAGTGGGGACTTCCTGGAACTAAAAACAGTACCAAAGATTTGGATTTCTCCACGTCCAGTCGTTCAAGAAATAAGACCAAGACTGGAGTAAGACCTTTTAATCCTGGTAGAATGAATGCAGCAGGAGATGTATTTCAGAATGGAGGATTTACAACTCACCATAATCCTGATTCTTGGATCTCCCAGTCAGCATCATTTCCCCGTAACTAGAAACAGCCAGGGGTGGATTCTCTGTCACCACTGGCCACACTTCCTAAACAGATTTTCCAGCATTCTGCCCAACAGCAACTTACTAAACCAGCTGAAATCACTTGTGCAAACTGCAAAAATCCTTTACAGAAGGGACAGACAGCTTACCAACGAAAAGGATCAGCTCATCTCTGTTGTTCTACCACCTGCCTTTCTTCCTTCTCTCATAAACGTATTCGAAAGATGCAAAATATAATACATAAAAAAGATGCACCTACAAAGAAGGCTACTGTTGTTCCTCTAGTGGATTCAAGCAGACCCTTCCAAGAATTTGCTAGTACATCCTTGTGAAGACAGTCATCATCTTAGAAAAGGAGTTTTTAATACATCACGATGTATAATCTGTAATAAACTGACAGAGGTTTGCCATGAGGTCAGTGTCAATAATGTAACCCACAAGCCATGCAGTAACATTGCTCTAATAAGTACAGGTTGGCCAATGGTCTAAAAATGAACTGCTGTGAACAGTGTGGAGAGTACATGCCTGATAAAAATATGGGCAACAGTATCCTGACTGAAGGTCAGCAGAAGAAATTTTGCTGCCAAAATTGTATGAATGAATATAAACAGCTTCGAGAGTACTGATGGCATCCAGTGGATACAGCCCAGCGATGCTGATGCAGCCAAACTCCTGTAGTACATGTGACAGTCCCTCACAGCAAATAATTATCCCATCTAAGAAATCTTGTAACTAAAGGATAATGGAAATAAAATCACAAACATCAGCATCAGAAAAAAGGAAAAGGAGTGGTATAGGAGAAGAAAATGAAAGTAAACTATATGGATCATTAAATATACTTTTAGAGAAAATAGAGGGAGTACCAGAAAAAAAAGACTTTAGAACAAGTTGCAACAGAATGTAGCCCAGATATGTCCCTGAACAAACAAAATGTGAATTTGCCTTATTCTGTGTCAGCCATAGGTGATGAATTTCAGAAGCAACTGGAAGACAAAAAGTGAGAAGACTTCTTTATACCAGTTGTGCTTTCTGTGGATCCAGGTGCCGGGTGTGTTGGCACATTCCTGTAATCCCAGCACTCAGGAGGCTGAGGCAGGAGGATCACTGCAAGTTTGAGGCCAGCCTAGGCTACACAGTGAGTTTAAGGCAAGCCTAAACTGCATAGAGAGACTTTGTCTCAAAAACAACAACAAGAAAGAAAGTAGAGGTAGGAAAGACTTGCCTTTAATTAATACCAGTTGAATAAGATACTTATGTGAATATATTCTCAGCATTGTTAAAGACATTCAAATAGTTTCAAGAATAAAATAGGGATCTAAAACTACAGCTTTTTCCTTTTAAACCAAATATTTGTGATTTACTCCTTTAAGCAAAACTCGGGAGTGGGGGCATGGTGATGGTAGTGGTACTGGAGATTGAACCCAGGGTTTTTGCACTGAGTTACATCACTAGCCCTTCTCTTTCTGTGCTTTGTTTATTTATTTGGTTTTTTGAGGCTTTTGAGGCAGGGTTGCTATAAGTCAGTAAATTGCTCAGGTTAGGCTCCAACTTGCAGTCCTCATGCTTCAGCCTTCGAAAGTTTTGAGATTAAAGGCATATACACCATGGCCCCTGGCTTGAGCAAAACATTTCTATTTGACCAAAATGGCATTACTGTACTAAATAAAGGTGAATAATTTGCATTTTATTGATTTTATATTTTTAATTTAATTTGTAAATGTAACTTTTATTGTTGTATAAGAACTGTAAGCATAAAGAATATATACCTACTCTTATATTGGTCCAAATATTTAAAAAATTAAAAATATATTAAGTTAAAGAAATGGAAGAGGTGACACTTTCCTCACTTGTCATCAGGGTCACGGGCCATGCTCTTCTAACAAAAGGCAGGTTAGCAAGAGAAAAACATGCACGTTTACTTCACCTGAGTTTGCGTGACGTGGAGACCTGAATGAGGGCCAGGAGAGCTGTTTCCATGCTGAAGTGTAGTGAGTGTTGGACGGCCTGTGGGCCATGAGCAGGCGCAGCAGCTGGGACCCGACCCATACCCGTGTGTGGCCGGCCTTCCTCCTGGGCATGGGCAGGGCCCCTGTGGACGGAGGGTCTTGTGATCTGCTGTCAGACAGGTGGCTCAGAGAGTATCTTCTTGACTGGCTTCCAGGAAGAGGAATCCTGGTTCCTGTTCATCACTTTATGGGGGAGGAGGAGGGAGGGAGATAGGAGGACAGGAGTCGGGGTACCTTGCCTTGAGGCTGCTTCTCCGGCGTTTCCAGTGTCATTCAGCTCCCATTAGA